AGAGACATAATTTTTTTGTGAATTTTCCCAACAAAGAGCAATCAAAATCTTCTTAAGTATTTTCGATTAAATGGATCATAAGAAAAGCAATCTTTTGATTCAGTTGCTTACCTTGGCTCTCATTGAGTAGTCCAACAATATATTAGCAGACTTTAGGTCACGGTGTATTACTGGTGGGACTGCCTGTTCAAACAATTATAACATTATTAAGTCAATGGGCAGTTCATATAATGAGGGAAAACATTGATTTAATCATATCACGTACCCCTTCATGAAGATATTGAATCCCATGTGAAATATCAAGAGCAATTTGAAGTCTTTCTTCCCAATTCAGAACTCGTGTTTCTTCACCTGATTGCCGATCAGAGTGATTCTAGTTAAGCATCATATTATAATAAACAAGAGTGGACATTAAGTTGGAAACTGCCCCTAAATGCATATAAGTAAAGAAAATGAACAAACATTTGCATGTCAGAAATTTTTCTGTAGATAAATCCACATTTAGAAAAACCCAAGTATTTTAGATCAAAAATGCATTTGAACACTAAAATATTTAATATTCCTTTAGCCTTAAAATATTCCTTTAACATAATTCGCCGTCTCATTCTCCTAGCGTACTGTATTTGTTAAACTCTGGAAATGGAAATAAAAAATGGCTTGTGAGCTTACCATATAAAAGGCTTTCCAAGCTCCCATTACTCATGAACTCATAAACCAACATGTGTTGTCCTTTATCTACACAATACCCCACTAAGTTCGCAAGGTTCCGATGATGCAGCCTTCCTAGCAGAGATACCTGACAAGGATCATGATTAACAATGGAAACACAACCTTCTTTGTTGCTTAAAACAATCCTTAATTTACATACAAGAGTTGCAGAACCAGTCAATTGACCCTTTTTATGAAGCAACCTTCAATTCCTAGGTTAAGAGGTGATGTCTATTCTCTTCCTCTTTCTTATGAAGTCAATGTAACTTACCTCTGTTTGGAACTCCTTTTCCCCCTGACTTGAATTAGAAGCAAGCACCTTTACAGCTGCTATTCCTCCTGTAGGCATTATAGCTTTATATACAGCCCCAAATGATCCTTGGCCTACAATATTTGTGAAATTTTGTGTAGCTTTCTGAATATCCCTAAAACACCAATGAATAAGATATCATTACAGTCGATGTCAATCAACATATACGAGTTCAATGTATTTATCAGAAATACTCAAGAAGACCCAGAAGTATAAACATTTAACTTAGAAATAGTCTATAAGATTTGCATCAAAACACCAGTTCAAGCCTCTACTTCAGAAGTGGATAACTCTTTCACAACTTTACCTGCAACAATATCTATTTTGAAGGGGGAAAATATGACATGAAAAATTAAAAACATGAGTTTCTAAGCTCATTGCAAAATATTGAACTCAGCCTTCTGAATAGAATATCACACAAAAAATGACAAAGTGACCCAAGAAGGCCTTGACATGCATGTGCTAAACAACTTTCTAAGTGAATGGGAAAGTGTGAAAACAAAAACTGGGATGCTTCATTTTCTCCTTTGTAAACTGCTACTTGTAATGAGGGATGCATGAAATCCAACAAATGAGAAGGTTGAGTCAAAACACTAAGGAATAACACTTAGTTAACTTGATGGCAGATAAGAAACAACCAAAAGTAGAATATTTGCTAGTTAAGCCGACCCAAAAATATTCAATGTGAACTCTATGGAGTTTTGTAGCCATTCTGCACTTACCTTCATCCTGTTGGTATTGCTATCTTTGATATGATTACATTATTGCTACAATTGTTTTGTTTTATGTGGTAAAAATTAAGAAAAAAAATTTTGTGAAGCAAAGATGATGAAGAGTTTATTTGATGAATTGGCACGATTATACTTTTTTTTTTTTTTCCTCCAGAAGTACAAAAAATAGGATGCGAGAAATATGCACAAAATCATTATAAATCTCTTATTATCAGGGAATAGGGATCTCAGGAAATGAAGACATATTACTCTCAGAAGAATTACCAAGCTTGCAATCAATTTGGATTTAACTTACTTGTAAGAATACTTTGGTATGCCTGATGGAGAAGCAAACCGCTCTTTACTGTGATGATTCCACCAAGAATGCGGAGAATTCTTCTGAAGATGTTCTGACTGCTGAGTAATAATGGAGCTTGAGATGGAGGCACTAAAGTCAGTACTTGCTCCTAATCCATTGGTGCGTATTGGAAGAGTTGCAACACTGTGCTCATTTGCACATTTTCTAAGATGAGCATGCTTCTTATACCACCTTGTTACAAGAAACACAAGCAAAGCTATCAAGATACCAAGGGCCAGACCAACAGAGACGCCAATAACAACCAAATCGGCTTTATAAACCATTTTTAGGTCCTCTTTGAGATTCCAGAGAAGATAACATCTTGCAAGGCAGGAGTCCTGCAGAGTCAGTATCACAACATCAATAAGTATTAGATCCACTGAAAAGAAAAACATGGCTTCCCTGAGGAAGTCACAATATGATAAATAAAATTTAAATAACAATAATATACATTTTTAGTTTAATTTGGTGAATACACATGACAAATCAGGCAAAAGAAAAAGTAGGAGCAATTAAAACGTTCCTATCAAGCTTCTTCAAAGAGAAATCATGAGTTGTGCAGAACAGAACACATAACTTTCAATAATGAACCAAAGGTATCTCTCCTTCAGCATATTTTAAAAATAAAAAGTGATACCTAGTGAAGTGCTTCCACCTAAAACAGAAGAAAGAACGAAGTAACTGGTGAAGTGGAACAGCTTGTCAAATTGAAACATCCTTTTTATTCTAAAGTGAGAGACTTAAAAGGATGCCTATATCACAAGACATTCTAAACAACATATTTCAGTCATAATCAAATATGGGTATTAAAATTCAGTGAGCTATTTTAGCCCATAACAAATTTCACCCGAGTTCTTCAAAAAGATAGAAGCAGTGGACAATTAGTTTTTTGCAGTATCAAAGCACACCAGGAGACTAATCTGCATTATCATCTTGAAAACAGTAAGTGCAGCAGGGATAAAGGACTTAAATTTGGATACCATAGCAAAGAAGGAACCACGCTCTATCTCTGCTAAAAATCTTACACCAGCTTGTGATTACACAATTTTGAGATCAGAGTATGGAAAGATGAAATCTTTATAACACCCATCAAACCAAACCACTAAAATATAAATCATTGAAGATCAAACCTATCAAAAATCAATTATAACAACACACAGAAATAACACAACGCCAAAAACCCATCACCATGAAAAGATTATTCATAAGAAAAGAAAATACAATATTTGGAAGAAGAACCTGACCAATACCGTGTCTGCTAATGATGAGGCACAGAGCAGCCCATCGAAGGCTCTTTGCTACTGTTTTATGGAGAAAGGGTCCAGGAGAGGAGAAAGGGTCCAGGAGAGGCGCGACCCAGTGCAGAAAAAAGCTACAGAGAGAAAAAGTCCAGGCTGACTAATCAGATAAAATAATGTATGAATAAAGAAAGTTGTTTGGTTGTAATTAAATTAATTAATTCAGAAACTTAGATGCCTCCGTCGTTATTTCTTGTTCAACAATATATTTTCTGTTGCTTTCTCCTTCTGATCTAATCCAATCTTTTTCTTTTCTCTCGCCAGCATTTTTCAGGATGCTCTAATAAGGTATTATCATCGTGAGGAAAAAAAAAATATATAATTATTATATAGAATTAATATTTATTTATCTTATTTTTAAAAAATTATGAGAAAAAAAGATAAAAAATATCATAATTCATGTTTTTAAAATAAGATATTTTAATCTTTTTCAATAAGTGTTTATTAAATGACATAAATTTAAAATAATATTTTTCATAATTTTTAAGAGCAAATTGAAAAGGTCAGAAACATGAGGATTAACTTGTGTGGAATCCAGAAGTTAGAGATCAGAACTGTAATTTTACTATTAATAGAAATGGCTCGGAAGGCCAAAAACGCGAGACAAGATTTCAGTCGGGCGCTTAATAGAAGGTCTCGGCACATAGTTGAGGGTGACCCTTATGCAGTTTTCAGCAAATCCTGCCTAACTTATTATCTTGGTGTGAGTCTCACACCTCTTCCAATTATGTTTTTAAAAATTCTATAAATACTTGAGGCTGATGACAATTTTCATTTGAGCACTTTT